AAATAATGACAACACCAAATGCTGACAAAGATGAGGTGAAACTGGATCACTCATACACTGCTGACGGAAATGTAAAATGGTACTGCTACAGTTTGACAGCTTCATCAAAAACGAAATATGCAGCTACCACACGACTCAGCATTCATACTCCTGGTCATTTATCATAAAGAAATGAAGATTTAACGTTACACAAAATCTGTACAGAAATGTTTATGGAAGCTTTATTCAGAGCAGCCCAACACTGGAAACAACCCAATTGTCATTTACTGAGTGGTAAAGCAAACTGCAGTACACCCATCCCATAGAATAAACTACTAATAAATGCAACAGCCTAAATGAAACTCAAAAGGATTAAGCTGAGGGAAAATAATTCCCCCCAAATCATGTACTATATGATTCCATATATGTAAAAAACATTACTGAAATGGCAAAAATATAACATTGGAAAACAGATTAGATGAAGTGAAGGGAGGAGGGAAATGGGTATGTCTATAAAACGGCAACATGAGAGGTTCTCAAGGTGAGAGAAATGTTCTATGTCTTGACTATATCAATGTCAATGGTTGTGATATCATACTACAATTTTGTAAGATGTTACTATTAGAGGAAACTGGGTTAACTGTACATGAGATCTCTCCATTATTTCTTACAACTACACATGAATGTACATTTATCTCAAAATAAAAAGTTTAATATAAAAAACTCAGAATGAATGGGGGGATATGGGTGTGTTTGCTATCTCAAGTGTAATGATTTAACATGTACATATACATACATCAAAACTCTTCAAACTGTACACTTTACATGCATTTTTTGCATGTCAGTTACTCCTCAACAAACTAAGGGGTGGGGTATTTGGGAGGGAATACAGTATGTCTCTTCCTCTTCCCTTTCCAAATAATTAAATCTTATAGCCATTAGTTAAGCCAAGCAAAATAGTCATTTAAACCTAAAGAGGAGGAAGGAATAGTTAGGAGCTGTTGTAGTGTCCTAGAGCAGAGGGTAAGAGCCCAAGCAGGGTGAACAGGGGTTTATCATAGAAAGGTTACCTGGTTCCAGGTTTTGGATATCCAGTGGGTTGAGGAGGTTGTCTACATAACACAGCTGCTGGGCACATAGAGGTTTAAGCCCAAGTGGGTAGAAGACGACAGCCATACCTGAAAAACTGTGGTGGCGATGAGAGATTGCTTACAGATAGAAGGACTAATTGAATACGAAAATATATTGAAGATAATGGAAACCAGATTTCTCATTGTTGGAGAAATAAGTCACCAACGTGGAAAGGAGGAAAACTAGAATAAATCCTGTAGTGTTAAATTACAACTAGAGGTACCAATATAAATTTTTTATTTCCAAGATACATAGACATGTAGAGAAATAGACTGAGATTTAAATGTGTGAACATATGTGTTTACTAGCTCTGTCCATTGAGAAGGCCTAAAACCAACAACACCCTAATATTAATAATAATGAACATAAGTAGCACCCAGACCTTGACTTCTAAATACCATTCTCCAATAAAGGAACAAGGAGTACTAAGAGAAATGGCTGAACCTAGGACCGATACAGCAAAAGGATACAATGAGCCTGAAACATCTTTTTGAATCAGAAAGTAAGAAATAACAGAGATATATAAAAAGAATACAGAAGTCAAATTGAAGTAACTAGCTAAATCTATGACGATTTGGGCAACAAAACAAAATAAATATTGATAGTAACAGACTAAATTGGATTCAGTAAGAAAACAAGAATCTATATTGATATAAAGTAAGTCAATAGATAGAAAATTTTATGTGGAATTGCATTTTTGTTTTTGAATGGGATATTTAGCCTTAAGAATATTTTAATTTTGACTCAGATTGTGAACATATGTTACTAAAAGTAATTAAAAATGTACTTCAAAATACAGCTGAAGACTTGAAGGATCTTAAAGTTTATTAGGGGGAAGTGTAGTGAACAGTGAGAATTCTAGGATTTCTCTGCCCAGCATATATTTTCACCTCATCCACATCTTAGTAGACTAGCTATGGAGAAAATGCAGAGAGACGTATAGAATGGCTGTTCTGTTTCTGGCTTGGGTGTCCTGGTGTTACTAATTGATAACAGGAATATCAGAGGAAGAGCAGCTTGGTGACAGAAGACGGCTATGGTTCAGTTCATAAGATTTTACCTTGAGGATATTTAGCAACCAGTTGGTTTCACTGTCTTAAAATTCAAAGAATTAATGTGCTAAAATAGTTAACTACACGAGGTGATAGCTTACCTAAGGAAACTGAAAAAAGAAGAGTACTAGGCCAAGGGCCATAAGAAAATAAACATTTAGAAAAAAGCTTTCTGCTGTTTATAATAGGATAGTTTATAAGCAAGTACAATGATGAACAAACATGGTAAGCAGAATATTTTTAAAATGTTTTAATTAGCAATTACTCAAATGTCAACAAAAAGTAAAATTAACAGATATTTCTCAAAAGAAGACATAGGAGCTGCCAAACATGAAAGAAATTAGTAATCATCAGAGAAATGCAAATCGATGCCACAATAAGATACCATCTCATACCAGTCAGAATGGCAACTAAGAAGTCAAAAAACGACAGATGCTGGTGGTGCTGCAGGAAAAAAGAAACGTTTACACACTGCTGTCGGGAATGTAAATAACTGCAGCCACTGTGGAAAGCAATTTGGAAATTTCGCAAAGAACTTAGAACCCCCATTCTACCCAGAAATCTCATTCTAGGTATATACCCCAAATTAGTCACTCTCCCAAAAAGACACATGTACTCATATGGTCATTGCAGCACTATTCACAATAGCAAACGCATAGAATCAACCGAGGTGCCCATCAACGGTAGTGAATAAAGTCATTGTGGTACATATATACCATAAAATCCTATGCTCCATAAAAAACAAGGAAATCATGTCCTCTGCAGCAATATGGTTGCAGCTGGAAGCCAATATATTTGGCAAATTAAAGCAGTAACAGAAAATTAAATGTTGCATGTTCTCACATACAGTGGGAATTAAACGTTGGGTACTGATGGACATAAAGATGGCAACAATAGACACTAGGGACTACTAGAGGGGGGCAAGAGGTGGAAAGCAATGAAAAACTAACTACTGAGTATTATGGGCAGTTTTGGGTGACAAGATCATTTGTATCCGACACCTTGGCATCACGCAATATGCCCAGGTAACAAACCTGCATATGTACCCCCTGAATCTAAAATAAAAGTTGAAATTTATTTAAAAAAAACTAGAAACTACTCAAACATTAAGTAAAAATATTTCTACCATTTTACTTTAAAAAGTAAAATTAATATTCTACCATTTATGATGTAAAAAGATTATGAAAGTTTGTAATCACAAAAATGTATATGATTGTGTGTTTTTCTTTTTAAGTATTTAAGCTATGTAAAAAAATTTTCATAGCAAAATCTGGAAATAAACATCAACATGCTAAGAATAATTGTTTTAAGGATGGAAATCTATGGGTTTCTTCCTTCTACTTTTCCATTATCTTTCAAATTTGCTTTACAGATGCTTCTTGACTTACAAAGAGGTCACATGTGATTAAACCCATCATAAGTTAAAAATACCATAAGTAGAACCATCAAGTCAGGGATTGTCAGTATACTACTTTCGAAAAAGACAAACATTCACAAAAAGGATTCCCTCCCACCTCTTATGAAGGCAAACATGGCGATATTCCTATCTAACAAGAAACACAGACACGTAGTAGGCTCTCAATAAATGCATGAATATATTAATATTTGTGTAATTAAAGACAGTTACCTGAGATTTTCTGTCCTGCAAAAGCCTGCAGCCCTCTCTGCTGGGGAACCTCCTGTCTTCCTGTCCTGGATCTTGAAAGGTCTGACAAATAGTTGCCTCCACTCTCAGAAGAACACGTAATCTCCGTCCATTGGCACTGCGGCCTTGGTAGTCCTTTATCTGGGGTTCCCACCCACTGTTCCTAATGGACTCACTTCTGGGTCCCTGGGCGAAGGGGATTAAAGCACTTGTTGACGCCTCTGAAAAACAACAAATGTAGAGAGAGCATCCTACAGAGAGGGATGATGATCTCTTAACGTTATGTATGGACCAGCATTTGGCATTTTACACTGTCCTGTCCAGCGCAGGCATTTCCTCTGGGCTCTCTGGTGTCTGACAAAGCCCATGCTGTAACTGCATCAGAGACCTTGACCCATTTCTTAACTTCAGCCCTTAACCGAACGAAGCTCTTTACTTGCTCATTGCAGTATTCAGGGTCAACCCTACTAGCAGAGATTAGTATCTCCCCACAAAATACGAGAAATCTGAGATTCCGGTTAGATTACTCATACAAAGCCAGGCGGCCAACGCAAAGTGAAGCCTTAATTAGCTGTCAGTGTTGTTACTCTAATTCTCTCCATCGAGTTCCATCGAGTAACCTTGGCAGGTGCAGCGCCGCCCTCAGGGCTCCGAGCAGTTTCGAGGCATTGCAGTTGGGCTGGGTGATGCTGGGTAGAGAGACGTGTGGGCCATTAGGCTGAAAATGGCGGACAAAGGGAAGGATACTTCAGTCAGGGTAGGGAGGAAGGGAACTTGGTGACCAGAAACCTTTTCCAGGGCCATATTGTTGAAGCAAATAACTTTTTTTTTTTTTTTTTTTTTTTTTTAAGATGGAGTTTCGCTCTTGTTACCCAGGCTGGAATGCAATGGTGCAATCTCGGCTCACTGCAACCTCCGCCTCCTGGGTTCAGGCAATTCTCCTGCCTCAGCCTCCTGAATAGCTGGGATTACAGGCACGTGCCACCATGCCCAGCTAATTTTTTGTATTTTTAGTAGAGACGGGGTTTCACCATGTTGACCAGGATGGTCTCCATCTCTTGACCTCATGATCCACCCGCCTTGGCCTCCCAAAGTGCTGGGATTACAGGCTTGAGCCACCACGCCTGGCTAATCTCAGCTCTTGTCTTCGGGAACCATGGAGACAGAATCCAGAAGCCTGAGGTGAGATTCGTGACCTACACAGCTGCCATTAGGAAGCCCAACAGTGCTTCCAATCAGGCCGGGTCCCTGGATAAAGCCTCGCCCCTGGGCGTGGCCCCACCCCCAGGCAGGGTTAAGGGCGCTGGGCTGTGCCTCGAGTCTGAAATCTTTCCTATTGCTCTTTCGTTCCTCCGTAAGTTTCTGAGTTCCACTAGATGCTAATTACCAAATGCTGGGCACAGAGCCGTGTTGAGGGAGACATGACCTCAGTCTGGAAGACAGACTATTGGGCCAAATATTCCAATACACTGTGGAGAGTGTTGTGAACTGGAAACCAAGGACAGATCACAGCTTGGGAGGATCAAGGCAGGTGTCTAAGGGAAACCTCTTTCAGTATAATGGAAGGAAAGAGCAAAGTTGTTTGATGGTAGTTCAAGGTGTCTGGGATATTTTAAAGTTTTATGATGAAAGGTTTCCATCTGTTGGCTTCTCATTCCTTTTAACAGACATGGGCCAGCACATATGTTCAATGGGTGAGTAGAGTGGAGAAAATTAGGAAAGTGAAATTATAATTTTGAGTCGATATGCAAGGAAATTTATTAAGAAAAATAATAATACAAACTCCACAAGCAAGAGAGCTTTGTTTTCCCACTGGTGTGTCCCAAGTGCTTAGAAGACTGCCTAGCACAAAGTATTCACTGGGGGAATGAATGGATTATTTTCAGGCAGTGTTGGAAGCTGCCCATTAGTTGTAGATAATGAATTAATGGTGTTACTAAACACCTAATCATGTGATTTTATCCAAAAAGAATTAGCTTGGCCTTGGCACTGTGGCTCACACCTATAATCCCAGCACTTTGGGAAGCGGAGGCGAGTGCATTATGACACCAAGAGATAGAGACCATCCTGGCCAACAAGGTGAAACCCTGTCTCTACTAAAATACCAAAAAAAAAAAAAAAAAAGAAAAGAAAAAAATAGCTGGGCCTGGTGCTGTGTGTTTGTAGTCCCAGCTACTCGAGAGGCTGAGGCAGGAGAATCGCTTGAACCCAGGAGGCAGAGGTTGCAACGAGCCGAGATGGTGTCACTGCACTCCAGCCTGACCACAGAGTGAGACTCTGTCTCAAAAAAAAGGTCAGGAGTGGTGACTCACACCTGTAATCCTCACACTTTGGGAGACCGAGGCAGGTGGATCACCTGAGGTCAGGAGTTCGATACCAGCCTGCCCAACATGGTGAAACCCCATCTCTACTAAAAGTACAAAAATTAGCTGGGTGTGGTGATGCACCTATAGTCTCAGCTACTCGGGAGGCTGAGGCAGGAGAATCACTTGAACCCGGGAAGCGGAGGTTGCAGTCAGCCAAGATCATGCCACTGCCCTCCAGCTTGGCAATAGAGTGAGACTCCAAATCAGCTTGCTTTTAGAAGGCAGGTCTAGTAAAAGTAGCAAGTTGGATATTAACAGGCAGGAAAGATGAAAGGACACTGGGATAGGTTGTTTCGAGTAGACCATAAAGTCCAGATCTTACCCAGGTTTGTGATTAAGTGTGGATCATGAAGTTTTTCTTAGAGAGGAAGGAAATTAAAAGGTTATTAGATTGACGAGAAAGTTTAAAGTGGCTTATAGTTCCTGAACTGGTTGAAGAATTGGCATACTGAGGGCATAAGTGTGAAGGATAAAGGGGGGAATGTCAGACTGTATTTTTTCAAAAAGCAGAGATATTCCTGGTAGTTTTAGGGTATGGTAGTAACTGAACTGGAATGAAGTTAAAGGACTTTAAGATGAAAATGGGTGGACAATAAGAGGCCAGGTTACTAGATGGTCTATCCACCTGGATGCTGGGGCCTTCAACTGATTTCCTTCACATTTAGCTCCTTACCCTAAACCCATCCCACTCCCCCCTGCCCAAGGCATCCACAGAATCACCATTCTTCCTGTACCTCCAGGCTTTGGTCAATGACATCACTCTGAACAAGAAGGAAGAAATGGAGCAGTAAAAAGGAGAGCTTTAGGAAACATCCATTTTATCTTTGTCACCCAGAATTTACTGGAAATATTTCCTATATTGTCTTATGGGGAACTAACCCCATTCTCAGTTTCAATCTATGTGCAGGTGGAGCTGTCTTTCTGAACGCTCCTATTTTGTGGATGGTATGTAACTCAGACTTGGCCGAAAATATCATTCCATGTTTTTGGTGACAGTGATTGGTTAGGAATGGGCATGTGACCCAATTGGAGTGAGTAGGATTCCAATGGAACTTTTGAAGGACCTAGTGGGAGAAGCAACCTATTTTTAGCTGCACTTGAAGCTTGGAGAATATAGCTATGAACTTGCCTGAAACAAATTCTTAATGAAGCCAGCACATAGCACAGAGCCAAGACATGAATAGAAATGAATCCTGAGGAAATTAATTGAGCCCATATGAACCCTCCTGCCTAGGGCTAATCTTACTTCCAGACTTTTTGCACCTAATTTCTCCTTTAAGTCTGAATACTGGCAGTGATATTTCAGGTGATTCTAAGGGATCCTTTCACTTTGCCATTCATAATGACCCCACACCACTTTTACCTTCATACAAACTTTCTCTTTTCTTTGGATGTTCCAACTTCTTTGATATTTATGGGGTTTTTAATCTTTTTTTTTTTTTTTTAACTAGCCACCACTCCACTCAGCTGTTAAACAACTTCTACCTTGATAACCTGTATATGGATGAGGATGATGACCTATTTGGCACCGTTGGCCACTTTGGCTTCAGCGAACTCAATGGGATGGCCAAGAAGAGACCCTTGTGTTAGGAATTCTTCCAAGTCTCCAATACCTCATGGTATTGACACACGTGTAATTATCTCTCCCCTTAAATGTAGGCTGGGCTTTGGGCTTTGTGATTTGGATCTAACCAGAAGAAAAAAGGGACAGATGATAGGATATCATTTTAATTTTTAGTTTACAAAAGATGTAACTTCTATTTGGTTAGAAGACTCTCTCCTTTCCTGGTTTTGATGAAAAAAGGGGAATTTCTGGCTTTGTTATGTCAAAGTAACTCACTGTACTCTACAGCCATATATAGTTTAAGATAGCCAGGTAGCACGTAAAAGGATGATTTGAGCCAAGTTCTGGACTTTGGGTTTTTCAAAGGGGTTTTCTCACTTTAAAAAGGCTTGAAAGGTTTTAGAGTAAACTTTTGGTACTTTTTATGAAATAATACAGTGTTTTAATTACAGGACATCTCAAAAGTGTCGAATAAAAGAACCTAGGATAAGACTGAGAAGGCCATTATCAGGCTCTCTACAAGGGATTGGTCATCTTTTAGAAACAAAAGAGGAAAACAGTAAGACCTAAACTAGTTCCTTCCTTTCCCTGAGCACAAGTTCTGGGATACTCAAAATCCACACCTCCAGAACAGTACATGGAGAACACCACTGTATATTAAAATAAACATTTCTTGGGGAGGATCAATATTCTTGGTTGTGCTAAAAAAAGATTGCCCTCATTAGAGGATATATTGTCATGAAAACTGAAAGGCTCTTTCTACAAGAACTGGATTATTCTTTAGGGAAATTTTTGCTTCCCGTAAGTGCTGGAGAAGCATTTTCTGTTTGCATAGAAGAGTCAAATCTCTGAACTCAGTGCCTTCAGCGGGTGTGCTGTCAGCCAGGGGCACCTGGCATACTTGCATGCAGGTGGGGCTTGGATGGGACACAGGCTCACTAGAGGGCAAGGAAGGAAGATTACTCTGGCATAATAGCTGCTCTTTAAATGTCACAACTTTCTGGGGATGACTGATCCTAGTCCTGATCCACCTAACACTTGAAAGGTAACTTGGGCCAGCAGAGACAGCTTCTTAGTTGTGGGGGTTAGGTACTTGACCCTTCTCCTTGCTGCTGGTCAGAGAGAACCCATAGTTGGAGGGTTGTCTGTTGTCAGGCTCTGTCTGAGTCTGCAGCTCTTCTTTCTGCTGACTTAATTCCCAGTCCTCAGGCTCCTGCCTGCATGCTAGTTTCTCCTCTAATATCTTTCCAGTGGCTGTCATGAGCTCAAGAGCTTCAAGAGGCCTCATGAATACAGGTCTACTTTCAACTAGGCCTTGGCACTATGCAAAGGCTGGCATGAACTTGTCTTTTTGCATGGGACTTTCCTGCCCTCTGCTTTTTCTCTTGAAATCAATCCACTGAAAAAATTGCCTCATCTTTTTTCTGAAGTAACTTTCAGGAGGAAATTGTTCTTTCTGTTACAGAGACTGAAGTCTCCTCTAATTTCCTGTCCTCAGCAAGATGGTTTTTCCTTGCAGCTTCGGATATCCCTAATCCCAAGTCCTCGCTTCCACATTCTCTTGCTTTGGGTCCCAAAAGGCTCTTGCTTCGGGTCCCTTCTTAGCTGATGGGAAATTCTTATCCTGGCACTTCCATAAGACATACTTATGGACTTGGGTTGTTGCAACTGCTGCATGCTGATCCCTGCATCGTTTGGGTGGATATGCAGTACCTGGGAAGCTGCCCTGTCCTCACTGGAGACACTCTGGAAGTAAGCCAGTGAGGAATCAGAAGTCAAGCTATCAGAGGTGAACATGTCTCTGGGACAGCCTTGAGCCTGACTATGCTCCCCACTCTCCAATCTAAACTTTCACTAGCCAGCTGTCCTTTAAAATCTGATGATTTAGGATCTTCAGCAATCAATATTCTTGGTGGGAAGTATTTGGTGGTCAGAGTAGTCTCTTCTTTACTGGTGTTCCTCATTGAGGAGCTTCCCAACTCACTGGTTGTCAAGATATCATTAGATTGTTGTTGAAGAGCATAGAGCTCCTCTATCTCCCTGGACACATTGGACATAGAAAAATGTTCTGAAGCCTGTACCACAGTTTTTTGCCCTGAAGCCTTTCTACACTATTGCTGGAACTCACTTTCTCATTCCTTGATTCATGTCCAGCCCTGTCTTGTTTTGTGGGCAGCTCTGAACTGTGTCTATCAGCTAGTACAGTCTCATTCTCTTTGTCTATTATGCTGTGTGTAGGGGGGCATAAAAGTCTGTCTGCCCTCCTCAATTCTCTATAAGCTTATGGTCAGTATCAGAGGGTGACTGTCTCAAGGCTTCCTGTTCTATGTTTACAGATCAAGTGGCAGGGAAAGGACAATCCAAGTTGGAAACTGGGTTTGTCATTCCTTTTTTTTAAAAAAAAATATGTATTTTTTATATATTTTAAAAAATATATATATTTTATATATTTTAAAATATATATATATATTTTTTATATGTTTTAAAATATATATATATAATTGTGTTTTAAGTTTTGGGGTACATGTGAAGAACATGAAAGATTGTTACATAGGTACATACATGGCAATGTGGTTTGCTGCCTTCCTCCCCATCACCTATATCTGGCATTTCTCCCCATGTTGTCCCACCCCAACTCCCCATCCCCTACTGTCCCACCCCTAGCACCCCCACACAGACCCCAGTGTATGGGTTCTCACTGTTTAACACCTGCCTATGAGTGGGAACATGCAGTGTTTGATTTTCTGTTCTTGTGTCAGTTCTAACTTGTCTCCCTGTAAAGCTTTGGAGTGTCCCTCAAGGGACTTGGAAACCACATCTTTAGAAACAACCCTAGAAATATAGGTGGCAGACAAGAGAAAGTCATGTTTTGGCTTTTTTCAACATATAGAATTTTATGGATTCAAGAACCTTGAGGGGTAGGCCCCACCCCTGACTTACCCTAAACCTCATCATATGAGCCTCTAGCACCTGACGGGTTTTGGAATCAAGAAAGGAAATCTCCAGAGTGGTAATCTTGCAGTAAACCCTACCCTCTAATGGTGCCATATTTCTGTTTTTCATATTCATATGGGAACTCCCAGAAGGAGGCAATGTATGGTTAGCCAGCCATAAATGACATACTCTGATAGGAATCCTATCAGAAGTGACCTGACAAAACTTCCTGTTCAAATGTAATCTAAGAATGTTTTTCCCTTGATTCTTGTCTAAGTTCCTCCTTGAATCACTTAGCAATTCATTCCTTGAGTGACTTACCCACTCACATTTTGTCTCAGAGACAGTGCTCACACCCTTCACCAGGTAGTTTCCAGAGACTATTGGTAGGTTGTCTAATGGACATTTCACTAAGATATGCCCAAGATTCTTTGGCATGTCATTTCTTATCTGAAACTTTGTTGGGACCCTCTCATGGAAACTTCCTAGGGAGACTCAATTCTGTCTTCCCTAGATTTTTGCTACTGTGGCCCTGGAGCTCAAGATTTTGTGAGTATGTCTGCAATTATGCTGATTATTTCTGTTGATTTGCACCAAGGTTTCATCAGTGCTAGAGATCCGAGATTCCTATAGGTACTGGGGCACCAGTGTAAGATTGGCCTCTTTGGAAGATGGAGCTACAAATTCTCCTGATGATCATTTCTGATGTGTAAATAACCAGGAAAGATGGAGACTGGAACATAGGACTGGCAGGACTGGCTGACCAATGGACCAAACTGCCATTGGTAAGCCAGTCCTCCCAGGCCTATGTTGGGGGATGAAGGGCTTCTTAAGATTTTTGGAGCCAAGGGACTAAACCCCAAAAACCTTCCTGTTGTTTCTACAACACATGCCATTCCAGATGTTGATTTGAGATGTGAGAGTCAGCTTCATTCTGAAATACATGGGAAAATACTCCACAGTCCTTAACCTGAGATGGAGAAGATGACAGTGGGTAGGGAGTAAAGAGTGAAGGTGAGCCTGGAAATGGACCTGAGTGATAGGTAGGATCTGGGGTTGGCGGGTGATTTGAGGAAAGGATTGGGAATGTACAGGGTTGAAGGGATGATGGTGGAACTGAGGAAGTGGTAGAGATTCTTGATCCTGCATTTGGACTGCAGGAGCATTACAGATTCCATTGAATACAATAAAGCAAGACTCTACTGGGGAGCTGCTCCTAGAGATCAGGAGAGTTGCCACTAAGGACTCACTGTGCAGAGAGGGAAGACCCCAGAAGAGCTGGCTATATTCTGTTGCAAGTTTCCCCCCAAAGTTTTGACATACAGGAGCTGTTGACAAATGTGCAGCTGCTCTGATGTGCCTTTGGTGTTTCACCTGGTTTGGGGGACTGTGGTGTCCTGCTCATCAACAAGTGACCACAAAGAATTTCCTGAAGACATCAGTTGGTATTCTGATCACATTTTTTTTGAAAATAATCCCTCTCCTTTTCCTTCTTATCCAAAATCTGGAAAGCCATTCTTTTTTTTAATTTGTTTCTACAAGACTGCCTGTATCTTAAGGCCAAAAAAAAAAAAAAAAAAAAAGAATGGCTACTGGCCTCCGTGTGCTTGGTATCAGAGTCTCCCCAGCAACAGATCTCTGGTGGAGGAAGGGAAACATGCTCTTGCTGAAAATCAGGGTATGGTAATCTGGGGTGGAACATGTTCCTGACATGAGGCTGCCACCATGAGAATTCTGAAATGGAATGGTCCATGCCTCTGACTGTTGGAATGTAAGTGGACAGCCTACTAGGACTTTCTGTAGAGAACCTCTCTGAAACAGGTTTCAATAAGATGGAACTTGATTTAGGCCAAGTCACACTGCAGTCTTGTGGTGGTAAAGCAGATAGGGTTGGTGGTACATGATCACAAGTGCATGAATCAGTGGGATTCATTGCTTGGGAAATATCTGATAAGGGGTTGATATCTTGGGAAGGGTGGTATCAAGGGTGGGGTTTAGAGAGAGAGGCCTCAGGTTGGAGATCAGTATCTGCCTTCTGAGTGTGCTGTGGTGGAAGAGGGGGAAAAGCATGCTGTTGGGTGGGGAATGGCCCATGGGGAATTTGGAATCCAAGGAAAGAACTGGCTGTGGTGGCAGAGGGTCACTCAGCGGTGAGGGTGAAAATAAGTCAGATAAAGGGGTGATCAGGTCAGGTTAGAGCATGGAGTGGGGTGATAGAGAAGGTTCATGCAGAGGGGCCATTAGGTCTTCTGGAAGAGTGGCTGGAAGGGCAGAGGTCAGAGTGAATGATTACTTGGTCACAGATGCTGTGAAAGCCAAAGGGGTCACAGAGAAGTAGCATCTTCTGGAGACTCCTGGAAAAGCAGTCCTTGACCTCAACAGTTTCTCTGTTAAACACCTCATGAGGGATTCTGAACATAATAGTTGACAAAAACAGATGGTACTGTAATGCTGGCTCAGGGGACTGCAGGAGACAAGAGGTACAAAGCTGCAGCCAGGACTGAAACAAGCATATGTGACCTTGACAGGTCTTGTAAAGCTAAGGTCACCCAGTGCATACTGTCTTTTCACATGCCCTGCTCCACTTCCCTTATCTCACAGTATACTTTTTATCCCTTTCCGCATGGCTTTTACATTCTGACACCGGATTTCTCCTCCCTTGTCAACCCCAGCCTTTAGTAACACCCTGGAATTACATGACCTCTGCTAAAAAGAGGGATACTGGAAATAAGGATAATGTTGAGTCACCTTTACAGAAGGAAAAACAGCTTCCTCTTCTCTTCTACTTCACTTTGATAAGTTATCCAACTTGAAAAGCCAGTAGGTTGAGTAACAGGATAGTGATGAAGTTAGAAGCAGAGATCTTATTGGAGGCTGAGTAGAATACCCCTTAGGGGTGCGTCAGCAGTGGGCGTGTATCTCAGTAGGGACGGGTTGCCTCGGCAACGGGAGGCTGCGTCAGCAGTGGGCGTGTATCTCAGTTGGGGCGGGTTGCCTCGGTAGTGGTGGACGCCCCTCCCCCACAGAGTGTCTCTGACCCTCTGCTCGGGATAGTTTGAAATCGCGGTTTTGTTTGTCCCAGTGGGTATCCCAAACAATCTGTTCCTGCAATCCCCTGGGCTGATGCAGCCTGCCGTTGCCGAGGCAACACGCTACAACGAAGAGACTCCGCCGCAGGGCGTGGCGGAGACCACAGCAGAGCCTGCAGGAACAGGGCAAATCACACAACAGCAGGGCGGAGCCTCGGCAGCCAAACAGTGGCTAGTCTGCCTTCTAGCTGGGCAGGACACCTCATTGGACATCCAAAAATAAAGCCCAAACCCCTCAACACAGAGCATTTGAGAAAAAAAAAAAAAAGGGTTTTTTAATGAGCTCTGTTGCAGCAGAATCAAACATAGCAGCCTAACAGCCCTGAATGAACAACAGAGCGCACAGCTCAGCAATTAAGCCCCTATAAAGTACAAACTGTCTCCTCAAGCAGCTCCCTGACCCCTCTATATCCAAAAGACTGATATTAGGCAGGCATCATCCTGGGACAAAGATAGCAGAAAAAGAAACTGGTAGCATCCCACGCTGTGCCACAGATGGTAGAGGTGCACCCCAGACAAGCAGGCTCTGGAGCGGACCTCAGCAGTCGTACAGCGAAGGGGCTAGACTGGTAGAAGGAAAACCAAGCAAAAGAAATACTTCATCATCAACACTCTGGGTGTCCACTCAGAGACCCAATCGAAAAGTCAGCAACTACGCAGATGACCAGCGGACAAATCCACAAAGATGGGAAGAAACCAGTGCAAAAAGGAGGAAAACACCCGAAACCAGAACACCTCGCCTCCTAGAAAGGACCAAAACTCCTCACCAGCAAGGAAACAAAGCTGGACGGAGAATGACTGTGGCGAAATGACGGAATTAGACTTCAGAAGATGGATAATGAGAAACTTTTGTGAGCTAAAAGATCATGTATTAAATCAATGCAAAGAAACTAAGAACCTTGAAAAAAGATTTGAAAAAAGATTGGAGGAAATGATAACAAGAATGGATAACTTAGAGAGGAATATGAATGAATTAAAGGAGCTGAAATACACAATACGAGAACTTCACGAAGCAAACACAAGTTTCAACAGCCGAATTGACCAAGCAGAAGAAAGAATATCTGAAGTCGAAGACCAACTCAATGAAATAAAACGAGAAACCAAGATCAGAGAAAAAAGCGCAAAAAGAAATGAACAAAGTCTCCAAGAAATGTGGGACTATGTGAAAAGACCTAACCTACGTTTGATAGGTGTACCAGAAGGGGACGAAGAGAATGAATGCAAGCTGGAAATTACTCTTCAGGACATCATCCAGGAAAATTTCCCCCACCTAGCAAGACAGGCCAACAGTCAATTGCAGGAAATACAGAGAA